TATAAACATTGTTTTTGTGTAACAACACCTTATCTAGAGTTGTGTAGTTGGATCGAGTTAGATTGTTTCAGCTGTATATCAGCAGTAATTACGGTCTCCATTTATGTGTGGAAGAGAATTATATTATTTAAGTTATTTTCAAAAGATCAGACTGATTAGGTTGGTTTTTGAAACAGTACAAAAATGTACTTTCAATGAATTCGAAAACAAGGAATAGAGAATATGTGGCAAGGATTTAGATGCATATCATCTTTTCCCCTTTAATATACTTACATAAACACTATATTTATTGCCATAAAAAGTTTACTTGTATCTTTCTCCATCATGTGTAATTATAATTGGCTTATGACAGTTTGATGGTAGAAAAATATATGATATTCACTCAAAAAACCATATGGAGTTTAAAGGTGCATAGACACAGATTTGAAGTTTATATTTTCTCAAATTTTCTGTATAATATCACAACTTATATGTTGCTATAGCATTTCACACGAAAATAAAATTGAAAACTTATTTAATCTGGAAATTATTGAAACTACGAATTTCGGGAGGCGTTTGATTAACACATCTTTGCACTTTCACAATTTTAACTTTATCCTTAATACTTAAGAAAAGTAGCAATTTTGTTGTATATTAATGAATAATATTACATCTATAATCCAGAAATTTCAGAGTAAAAATGTGCTAAAGCAAAACCCACTCACTTAAGCATTGTCAGCCCGTGCTCATTGTTGTGTAGTTGTGTACAGAGTTTAACAAATTGAATACACCGGTGAAACGTAAACTGTTTTTGTAAACAGGGCACGAGCTCTGTTGTTGTTAATGTTTACGTATCACCGGGTGTGTTCAATTGTTAGACTCTGCACACACCACTGAGCACGGACTGACAATACTGGTGAGAGGATTTTGCTTTCTACATTTCTACTCTGAAATTTCTGCATTATAGTTTTAATATTTTTTCATTAATAAACAACAAAATTTCTACTTTTCTAAAGTATTAAGGATAAAGTTAAAATTTGTGAAAGTGCAAGGATGTGTCTATCAAACGCGTCCAGAAATTCGAGGTTTAAATAACTTCCAGATATAATAAGATTTTTATCAAATTTTCGTATGAAATGCCATAGCAACATATAAGTCATGAAATTATACAGAAAATTTGAGTAAATGTTAACTTCAAATCTGTGTCTAAGCACCTTTAAACATAATGGAAATATTCTTAATATTTTTATGCGAGGTAGAATAGAACCGCTTAATTTATTTCAATATGTCAAATGAAGTTAAGCTCAAGTTTTGACTTATATCTACGTACCTTTTATCATAGATTTACAAAGGATCCTATATTCCAAGGCACCCGATCCCAGCTCGGATTTTTTAAGGGATCAGCGTTTTATATGATTGTAAGCTATTTATTATGTTGGATGTTGATATTAAGGTTACATGTAAATGTCTGTCATTCCTTTATTAAAATTTTAACACGCAAATTAAGCGATTTAAAATTATTTCATTTTGTTTTTTAAGAATTTAATGGCAGGTGAGCAATTACATGAAAAGTAACAAAAAGTATGTCTTTTCTTTACTTTGTTTTAAGATGTTCTTGAGGTGATTTAAAAAGGGCAATACATCTGATCCAGGTAATTACAGGGGTATAAGTATTAATAGCAGCCTTGGAAAATTGTTTGCGTCCATTTTAAATGAAAGGATCGCTGCCTGGAATTCTGAGGAGTCAGTTATTACAGATGCACAATTCGGTTTTCAAGCTGGACGCTCTACTGTAGATGCCATATTTTCCCTTCAAAGTTTGATCTCACAAAAGTTAAATAAAAAACGTCTTTACTGCTGCTTCATCGATTACAAAAAAGCGTTCGACACAATTAATCGGGAGAAGTTGTGGTACAAGCTCATCAAATTAGGGGTTATGGGAAAACTCATTCGGATTATTCAATCATTGTATTCGGACGTACGAGCCTGTGTAAAACATGTTGGCCAGGTATCTGATATGTTTAGTGTTAAAAGTGGTTTAATGCAAGGAGAAGTGTTATCACCAATCCTATTCAACATGTATGTGAATGACCTGGAAAACCATTTCATTAGTGAAAATTCGCCATCAGTGGAACTGCGAGAACTTAATTTATTCATTTTAATGTTTGCAGATGATACATGTACGGTTATATTTGCAAATTCGCCCGAGGAGTTGCAAACAATGCTCGATTCCTTGTATCGTTATGTTTCTACATGGGACCTTTCCGTAAATGCATCAAAAACAAAGATAATGGTATTCCGAAACAGTGGAACAGTAAATTCTTCATGGACATATAATGGGGAAATCCTTGAGTGTGTCGATTCTTTCAATTATTTAGGACTTACACTGTTTTATAATGGCAAAGTTAGTTCTACACAAAAAAAGCTGGCAGATCAGGGGCGAAAAGCACTTTTTGGACTAAATCGAAATATCCAAATGTTTGAATTTAATGCAGAAACGCATTGTCAATTGTTTGATACATATATATTAAGTGTTTTGAATTGTGGGTGTGAAATTTGGTGCTTCCACAAATCACCTGAAATAGAGCGCATTCATCTTATGTTTTGTAAAAACCTACTTAGCTGCAGAACTGTAGCTCACTGCTTGAGAAAATTCGGACAGACAAAGCAGAGAGCTACAGATCCAAGCGTTGTAAAAACCTTCGATTTACGCCGCCGCTTTCTTGTCGCTCGCTTCGGCTATTATTTCTTGTATTTAATGCTTTCCCTTGCTTTAAAAGTGGTATCCAATAATTATCCATATATTTTACTTCTATTCCTGATACTTGATTTACCTTTCAACGGTCTCAAACAGTTCTTTATGGTTTTGAAATGTCGGTTTAAAAAATTCCCATTCCGACGTCCATGTTATAGGGGGTTGTGCGAAAAGAAGTAATTCAAAGAACATATACTTGTCAAGAAAATGTAAAAAAAAAAAAAAAAATTCAGGAGGTTTAAATATCATGTATATTGTCTATAAAGATTAGAATACAACATGTATGTAAATAAGAAATGAGATAAATAAAACTCGGACGTGTTGTTTCAGGAGGACACCAACGTCGACGTCGGAATGCATTTTTTAAACTGATATTATGGCCGTCTGGAACTGTTGAAAGGTAAAGAAAGTGTCAGGAATAAGAGTAAAATATATGGATAATCATTGGATACCACTTTTAAAGCAGGGGAAAGCATTAAATACAAGAAATAATAGCCGAAACGAGCGACAAAAAAGCGGCGGCGTAAATCGAAGGTTTTTACAACGCTTGGATCTGTAGCTCTCTGCTTTGTCTGTCCGAATTTTCTCAAGCAGAGAGCTACAGTTCTGCAGCTAAAACCTACTAGGAGTTAAAAGATCTACTTGTAGCTATATGGTTTATCGTGAATAAAGCCGTCATCCATTAATCATAATCAGGAAAATAAGAATTATGAAATACTGGTGTAAATTACTTAGTACAAATAACTGTATATTGAAATCTTCTTATGAATATTTATTGTATAATGCTGAAAATAAATTACATTCCAAACTTAACTGGGCAAGGGGTGTTAAAGATGAGTTGTTTAGAATGGGACTTGGGAATTTTTGGATCAATCAAGATTTTATTAATCCAATACAGTTTATGTCTTTATATAAGGAAAGACTGTTGGATATCTACCTTCAAGATTGTAATGCCTTTTTTGAAAATTCAACAAAGTGTTTCTTGTATAAGCACATTGTGTGTGACAATTTTTCCAAAATCCATGCGTATTTGACAAAACCTATTCATTCTAAGTTAAAGAAGTATATTACTAGAATAAGGCTTTCTTCCCATAGCTTAAGTATAGAAACAGGAAGATATCAGAAAATAGAAAGAAGTAATAGAATATGTCAATTTTGTAATGATCACCGAATCGAAGATGAATATCATTTTTTGCTTGAATGTCCTGTTTATGATTCTTTTAGAAGAAAATATATCAACCCATATTATTTCAGATCTCTAAATATGTACAAGCTTACTCAGTTACTCAGCTCTCATGATGTTGGTGTTTTAGTTGGATTAGGGAAATTTATTTTTCATGCAATGATATTAAGAAATGATGAATAATTTAATTTATATGTACATATGTATATTATGTATAGATGTATTATGTATAGATATTTTTCATGTATAATGGAGAGTTTATAATGCTTACTGTAATTGTTGGTGTTGAGGAGTCGGACAGATGGACACTAGAGGTTCCACCCCTCGTAGACTCTCGCTATGCGTGCATAATTATGTTAATTTTGTGTATGCTGATGCTTGTGTATACAGGGCTTAAAATTGTTTAATTAAGGAATGAATTTAATAGCTACCCAATTTATACGGTATAAAGTGGTTTGGGGCAGTTTACGCTTTATAAACCGCGAACGATTGAAAAAAAATGGTATCAGTTATTTTTTAACGTGACACATTTGCAACTTCTACAACCTGAGAAAGTTTTTGCAGAAATGGATAAAAAATTCAATGTTTCGGCAAAAAAATAACACAATGTACATGTATGTACAAGCATCTATGTAAAATTAACAACGCAGAGATGGTACAGATCGATTTGTTATTGTTCCCACTAACCTTAGCCGACAATTGTTTTCAGGTAGATAGATGTCTTTTATTTTTTTCAAAGCAATTATAACCTTAATTACTTCATTTACTGTCTAGATAAGATGCGCTTAACCGATATTTTGAAAAGGAATACTGGATAATACTATTGCATGCAGTCATCCTTTTATAGAATACAAATTATTTGCAGTTTCTAATTTAAACAAAGACATACAATCTCATCTGTCGTTAATTTATTATAATGTGACATAGATAATAACAATACATATTTTATGTGGTATAGACATACAGCGACATAAACTATGAGAACTTAATGATCTATTCAGAGATTCAAGAAGGAAAATTAAATTATGGTTGGTACATGTCTTGGAATTTGTGAAATAAATTTAGTTTCAAACCAAAAGTCATTTACAATAATTTCGAGAGTTCTTCCTCACACTCCACAACTCTTTGACAAGCTCTTTGATCGACATTCTCTAATATTGTCTTTAATGTCCCATAATTATTCACTGAAAGTTTTCCATCCTCTTCCAGTTTAATGAAATCTTGAGAAATAGTGGTTGAATCATACCTTGGTGCTGGGTAATGAGTTTTAAAATATTGTTTCCATTTCACATAAACACGCCGTCCGTCTACAGATTCGTCAAGATAGTCATTTACTAGGTCTGCAAGTAAGCATCGGTGAAGTTTATCTAGCGAATGCACCTCCAAATCACTTTTTGTTTTTCTTTTGCCTTGAAGAAATCCATAATAATACAAAGAAATAAAAATTATCATTTTAACTTCTTTTCTTTAAACATAAAATTTCTATGAGCACAATTCTTTTGAAGATTTTTACAACCTTTAGTTTATATTGTAAATGTTCCAACCCCTTCTTTCATTTTTTTATTTGAAAATTTTGAAAATTTACAATTGCTATGTACTTCATAAAGTATTGATAGTTTCGGTATTTATATAAAGTGGTTGTTTTTAACACTTCAAACGTGAGCGATTGCGAATTAAAACAAATAATCAAAATAGTCTTAATTTCAAAATAAACGCTTTACTGGCATTTATCTGTCAATAATCATAGTAAACACGGTTACAGCGAACATAGTTAAAATGCATTGACGTAATTTCTATTCTTTGTATATCAAGAACTCAACAGGTAACAAATTACATCAATAAATAAGAGGCCCATGGGCCACATCGCTCACCTGAGCACTTTGGTTAAGACAATGCAGAAATAAGTTCAGTATTGAAAGGTTTAAATATTTAAAGTGGTTCGGGGGGGGGGGGGGATGATTTTAACAAACATGACTAATAATATCTGCTGTTCTTAAGAAGAAATTTTTATTGAATTATCCTTTATATTCCTTTGTATAACTATGATCCCCTGTTATGGACCCTCTATACTGCTGGGGGTCAGGATTTGATCAAATTTGAATCTACATTACCTGCAGAAGATGCTTTTATTTCATTATGACATATCACGGTTTTGCTGTTCTTGAGAATAAGAATTTTAAAGATTTTCCTATGTAGTCCTATGCAAAACTTTGATCATCCATTCTTGCCCCATCCTACCCCCGGTAGGCCCATTGTGACCCCACCCTATCCTGGGGGTCATGTTTTGAACAAACTGGAATCTACGCTACCTGAAAATGCTTCCATATACATATGATCAATCATGACTTTGCTGTTCTTGAAAAAGGATTTTTAAAGATGTTCCCTATGTATTCCTATGTGAAACTTTGATCGCACACTGTGGCCCCGGTCTACCTCGGCGGGTCATGAGTTGAACAAACTTGAATCTACACTACATGAGGATGCTTCTATATAAAAATGACCAATCATGGCTTTACTGTTTTTGAGAAGATTTTTGAAATTTTCCCTATGTATTCCTATGTTAAACTTTAATCGCCCACTGTAGCCCCATCCTACCTCCGAGCGTCTTGATTTGAACAAATTTGAATCTACACTACCTGAGGATGCTTCCACATAAGTTTCATATTTTCTAGCACAGTAGTTCTTGAGAAGAAGATTTTTAAAAGATGCCATAATTTTTCACGAATTCGCAATTATCTCCCCTTGAAAGAAGGAGTCGCCCTTCATTTGAACAAACTTGAATCCCCTTTACCCAAGGATACTTTCTGGCAAGTTTGGTTGAAATTGGCTCAGTGGTTCTGGAGAAGAGGCTGAAAATGTGAAAAGTTAACAACGACAATGACGACAACGACGACGACAACGGACAAATTTTGATCAGAAAAGCTCACTTGAGCCTTCGGCTCAGGTGGGCTAAAAAATAAATTGTTCATCCCTGGCACTTTGCTATAAGTGTGATTAAAGGGGACCGACGACCCTCTGATAAGGAAAAATAACTTTCCAAGTAAAAAAACACTAATATTACTCATAGTTTTCGTCATCAGAGTTTAATTATCGAGACCTTTCAGTAGTCAATTTGATCAAACTTAACATATGATGGAACCATTACCTTTCATTTCCTTTCCCTTTACTTTTTCATATTGTTTTATAATATTTGATCAATAACATATAAATCCAGGTTTAAAACCCTTACAAATTGAAAAGGTTCTTTTTTTAAATGACCATTTTATGAAAGGATTTCATTTTTCGAGTACCAAATATAAGCTTTTTAGAGTATTATTTTCTTTTTTCATTGAAAAAAAAAACATTTGCAGAAAGATACATGTAACTCTTGCTAACAGATGTATTCACTTCTTAAAACCGCATATACCATTGTAATATCCCGACAAAGGAAGCGCGCTTTATTATGTTTTCTATTATGAATTTAATAGTTATGACACTAAATATTATTTTTATTTAAGACTCATATTTTTGATTTTATGTTGCTATAATAAATTACTACTTTTCCATTCTCTGTATTAAAATTTCTTCATATTATATGACATGAAAATCATTTCTGAAAAAAGCAGCGCTTCATATCCCATACTATTTTTTTTCATTTGAAGCTAGTGCTATAGCACTTGATGAAAATCAACGTTGGGATGTTTGAAAAATGAGAAATGTAAAGCAGAGGGTCATTAGTCCTTAATTTATAAGTATAGAAAGTTCTAATCAAATACGTCCGCGTCATTGTCTGCAAGCTGATGGTGAGTATACATTGAATAATTTATGTTGGGTCTATGAATGCAATAAAACGCAAATGTCAATTGAGTTTCTTACCTTTCAGAGACGTGTTGCATGTAACGGATGACTTTCTCTAAAGTAATAAGAGTCATAGAAAAATGAGGTAAACGTATCCAATAATTGTATGAAAATGATAATTTTATCACAATTTTTCACAATTTCATAGAATCCAATGACTTTTTAAGAGCGTATAGCTATAACACACAAGGAGATTCACCAAAATCTATAGCAGGATAAACAAGATTATACATATATTTTATATATTATTTAAGTGAACGTCTTCTTGAAGTCAAAAGAACAGACTTTTGGAGGTGTAGCATTTTGAAATAATTCCAAATTAGTGAAAAGGGCTATGCAGTTTGCAAAAAAGTGTCATTTTTATTATGTCCCTGTAATCGAAGATTTGGGGGCATATAGTTTTTGCTCTGTCCGTCCGACTGTCTGTCTGCCTAGTTATATCTCTGTTTGTATGCAAAATTTTTGCCTTGCCCATAACTTTTGATTGGTTAAAGCTATGGTTTTCATATTTTAAATGTGTATTCCTTTTGACATGACCTTTCCTTGGATACCATTTTTTTACCTTTTGACCTTGACCAATCATATTGACCCACTTTTGCAAAATTTTATCAAACTTTAACTTTGGGCATAACTTTTGAACGGATGGGGTTAGGGGTTTCATACTCCACTTGTGTATTCCTTGTGAGAAAGCCTTAGATGGGTACCAACAGTTTTTACCATTTGACCTTTATCTTGGCTATAGCGTTTGAAAGATTAGAGATAGTGCTTTCCTAATTCAAAGCTGCATTTCCTGCATTGTGACTAGGCCTTCCCTCGAATACCAACAATTTGATGATTTTGACCCTTTAACCTTGACCTTGGAGTATTATCTACTTTCGAAAACTCTAACCTTGGCCATAACTTTTAAATTTTTGACGCTAGAGCTTTCATATTTCACACGTGCATTTCTTGTGAAAAAGCCTTCTTTTGAGAACCAACAGTTTCGAACCTTTTACACTGACCTTGAAATTAAACCTACTTTTGAAAATCTTTAACCTTCAACTTTTGAACGTTTGGTGCTATGACTTCAGTTTTTCTGTGACGAAGAACTTCTCTTAGATACTAATAGTTTTGACCTCAACCTTTGAGATTGACCTTCTTCTGAAAAGAATTCAACCTTTGCCATAACTTTCAAAAGGTTCACTTGTGTATTCCTTGCGACTAGACCTTCCAATGGATACTTTGATTTTGACCTTGGACTTTGACCTATCTTTGAAAAATTTTAACCTTGGCCATAACAATTGAACGACTGGAGTTAAAGTTTTCATATTTCACACATATATTCCTTATGACAAGACCTTTCTTTGCGTACCAACAATTTTAATCTTTTGACCTTGACCTTGAAGTTTAATCTCTTGACCTTGACCTCGCCAGAAGCTGACATACAGGGGCAGTAGTGTTTCACAAACACATTTTGTTTATCTCAAACTTGTATACCAAATCTAAGTAAATATATAGCAATAGGAGAAAAAAAATTAAATAATTTAAAATAAACGTTTTTTAGATTCTTACTTTGAAATTTCAAAGTTACACTCTCATTTCAATTTACAACAAGAGGCCCAGGGGCCATATCGCTCACCTGAGCACTATGGCTAAGAAAAAGCAGAAATCAGTTCAGTGTGGAAAGGTTGAAAAGTTTAAGTATAAAAGTGGTTGGGGGGGGGGTGATTTGAACTAACTTTAATCTATACTTTATAGGGATGCTTTGACTTAATATGACAAATAATGGCTTTGCTGTTCTTAAGAAGAAAATTCTTATTAATATATCATTTGTATAACTATGATCCCCTGTTATGGCCCCTCTATTCTCTTGGGGGTTCATGAATTGAACAAATTTGAATCTACACTATCTAAAAATGCTTCGATATAAATATGACCAATCATGCCTTTGCTGTTCTTGAGAAATAGATTTTTAAAGATTTTTACTATGTATTCCTATGTAAAATTTTGATCACCCGTTGTGGCCTCACCATATCCCCGAGAATCACCGAGGATCATGATTTGAACAAATTTGAATCTACACTATCTAAGAATGCTTCCATATAAATATGACTAATCATGGCTTTGCTGTTCTTGAGAAATAGAGTTTTAAAGATTTTTACAATGTATTCCTTTGTAAAACTTTGATCACCCATTGTGGCCCCACCCTATCCTGGGGGTCATGATTTGAACAAGTTTCAATCTACACTACAAGGTGATTCCAAATAAATATGACTAACCATGACCTTGCTGTTCTTGAGAAGGAGATCTTTAAAGATTTTTCCTATGTACTCCTATGTAAAATTTTGATCTCCCATTGTGGCCCCATCCTACCCCCGAGGGTCATGATTTGAAGCAACTTAAATATACACTATTTGAGGATGCTTCCATATAAATATGACCAATCATTGCTTTTCTGTTCTTGAGAAGAGATTTTTAAAGATTTTTCCTATGTATTCTTATGTAAAACTTTGATCGCCCATTGTGGCCCCACCCTACCCCCAGGGTCATGATTTGAACAAACTTGAATCTACACTACCTGTGGATGCTTCCATATAAATATGACCAATCATGGCTTTGCTGTTCTTGAGAAGTAGATTTTTAAAGATTTTTCCTATATATTCCTATGTAAAACTTTGATCGCCGATTGTGGCCCCACCCTACCCCCGAGCGTCTTGATTTGAACAAATTTGAATCTACGCTACCTGAGGATGCTTCCACATAAGTTTCAGTTTTTAAAGCACAGTGGTTCTTGAGAAGAAGATTTTTTAATGATGCCATTAATGTTTCACGAATTAATAATTATCTCTTTTGGAGGAAGGCGTGGCCCTTCATTTGAAGGAACTTGAATTCCCTTTACCCAAAGATACTTTGTGGCAGGTTTGGTTGAATTGGCCCAGTAGTTCTGGAGAAGAAGTCGAAAATGTGAAAAGTTTACAGACGGACAGACGGACTACAGACAAAATGTGACCAGAAAAGCTCAATTGAGTATTCGGCTTAGGTGAGCTAAAAAGTGAAATTTTCGCTGCACTTTGGTCAGTAATTATATCCTTTTACGTCATTACACATTTTCGACCCTGCATAATTAGTCACCGGCCACATTATGTGCGTGTTTGCACAGCACACATTGTCGTCGCAGAGAAAAAAATGGACAAGGACCTGCATATATTGTCGCCAACGACAAAGAACTCAAAGCTTGTAGATCATATTGGCATCTTATCACAAAACCTTACCATATATGGTGATAATCTTGATTATGAATACTTGTAAGAGAAGACAAAAGACATCTGTGGATAATAAATTATTTTAGCAAACTATTTTTTTAATTATAATTTATCAATCGATTGATAAATAAATCTCTTCAGTGACTTATAGTAAAATCATAATCATGAATAGTTCACTCATAAAAAAAAAAACATCATTATTCTAACATTTTCCTGTTATTGTGCTGAAGTTCATCATACGCAGATTTTTTTTTTTCAATTATATATTCCTATGTAAAATTTTGTTCCCTGATGAGGCCCCAAACTACACCCAGTTGTCATTCTTTTAATGAACTTGAATCTTCACTAACTGAGGATGCTTCCATATTCATAAAAAAAAACCTTGGCTTTGCTGTTCTTGGGAAGAAGATTTTTAAAACATGTGACCCTCTCCAACATCTAGGTGTCACAATTTGAACAAACTTGAATCTACACTACCTAGGGATACTTCTATTTCATTATGACTAATCCTGGCAATGCTGTTCCTGAAGATTTTTTCTAATATATAAACCTATTAAAAATTTCGATGCCCAATTTATTTGTTTTATTTGTTGTTTAACGTCCCTCTCGAGATTTTTTCACTCATATGGAGATGCCATCACTTGCCGGTGGAGAGCTGCAAATTTTGAACTATGCTCGGCACTAATGGCCATTGAGCAGTAAGGGATCTTTTTCGTGCCAGCACCTACTGCCACAAGGAACCTCGATTTATACAGTCTCATCCAAAGAACCGGTCTCCACGTCCCACAGTGGAATTCGAATCTGCGACGTAAGGATCAACTCCTTAATCTGCAATTCTAGAGCAGACGTTCTTACCACTGCGCCACGCAGGCGACAGTCCCCACTTTAAAGATTTTTACTATATATCCTATTAAAACTGTGATCCTCCATTGTGACCCTACCCGGGGCTTATCATTTGAACAAACATGAATCTAAATACCTGAGGATGCTTCCATATCAATATGACTAATCATGCTTTGCTATTCTTGAGAAGATTTTTTTTTATTCCATATATAATAAAACATATATGTTCAGATATATATATATATATATATATATATATATATATATATATATATATATATATATATATATATATATATATACTCACGCTATACCAGAACTTTGTTAGAGCTTCTTCGTTTACCATATGCTTTTCTGTGAAACCGTGTCTTGGGCACAATATTCGTCCTTTATTAAATATTTCCTCTTTATAAACGTAACATTCTCTATTTTCGCAAAGTACATCTTGACTGGAGCACTGAAATGCAACCTTATATGCAACTTTTTTGTGAAAGGTGCTTGTTAAATATTTTAGTCTATTTTCCAGAGCATCTTTTATGTACACGGCGATATCTGCATCAATAGGTGTATTTTGTGATCGCAGAATCTGGACTTGAATTGCAGTTTGTGTCACAACAAGGGCAATATAGTGATCTTTGTATATGAAAATTGCTATGTTCTTATACAAGCATGGTATACCACCATCTTCTACAGCCTCCCATTTGGTGCCCACAATGCAAGCAACTATTAATCGACAGTAGAAAAAGAATGGTAGAAAGTTGAAATGTAGCACCAACACAGAAGATTTTGTTTCCATCTTCCGCAAGGCCGTCTGTTCCTTTTTACCAAAGTCTCTTTTATTCATACATGGAACGTAGTGTTTGATTTTCCCTATGGCTATCAATCCTAGTCTTTGCATGTAATGCAGAATGGTCGATTTATACCATAAATCTATTGACAAGCTTTTCCAAATTTCACAGAGAAAACTGTCAATGAGATATCCAGTCCTATGAAATTCGTTCCAGTCTTTGTTAGTGCCTGCCAAATCTCTGACATGGTTCTTGTCCGATATTATAAATTTGAATGTATCAACAAACCATTGGACGTCAACTACTATTTTATCTGAAAGTTTCTCCTCATCAAAGTAAAGAATTGTTCCAATGTCATGAAAAAAGCGAAGAGCAACTTTTATTCCTTCTCCCTTTTCATGTTTTTCATCTTTCTTAGGCACCCAATATTTCCGTATCAACTCCTCCACCGTCACTATTTTTTCTGAATCATTTTTGAATTTAATTAATACCATTTCAATTATCGACCATTTTTCTGGTATGGTTTCTTTCCATCTTCTGTCTTTGGCAATAGAAACAATGCAATTTTCTAATTCAGATAAATGCTCTAATTCTCCAGAGTTGTCATTATGGAAACCGACGAAGAAGCATCTTTCATATTTAAAATGTTTCTTAAGTTTGGAATCAGTAGGTATCAAATCCAAGAGCTGTCCGTAAAATTCCTCTTTATCCTACATAAATAATGAATACTAGCAATACTGGATATAACATTTTTTCATAAATAAGAATAACTTCTTTTTTTAAAAACTGACCGAAGATTTTCAGTGACCTCATCATGGTTCGTATTTTTGCGTGCTTACCTTTAGGGTAGCATTTTCAGTGTGTGTAGCCACGACAATTATTGATGTATCTTCTGCACAGTAGGTGTGAACTGATTTTAACCAGAATAGAACATACTCTAAAATTACATAGTGATATTTAACAATTTCAGTGAATTGTATTTGGAAAATGAAATAAAATTAATCAATAAACAAAAACTTGGCTCATAAATATTTTACAAAAATGTACTTGTATCTGTACAGCTTTTTGGAGCCTTTTTTTAGAACGAAGATAAATTTTCACTTCAAAGAAAATATACTGTCATTTCCTCACTTTTACATTGAACAATCTTTTGAATCTCATGATTGTCACTCGTTCATTGACCTACTGAGCTTTTGACATGTTACAATGGTCATTTCAATAAATACAGTATTGGGTCATCAGGAATGCTTCCAGGTTAACCGAACGCGTCAATTATCTTGTCAAACATTTAAGCATCCGAGCTTTGTAGTGGAAATAGGAAACGCTGAATTAACATACCAATGAAATATGGGGATAACGAACAGTTATAATAATTCTGGGTAAAATTGATAGTCTTCTGGAACTCATTGCTTTCAAATACTAAGCTTAATCCAAATTTTGTCCTGTATAAACACGGTTTATTACACTGTTAACCCTGAGATGTGTTATTAATGAGTTAAGGCGTTTTTCAACATGGTGACAATTGTGATATTTCAATTGAATTAGTCAATGCTATAAACAAACAATTGGGTTGTTGGTATTTTCCTTTAAATTTATGAAAACATACTTCCTGAATGAAGGATGAGTTATGGTATACAAATCAGAATCAGAAATATTAAATTACTCAAAGATATCACTGCTAAATAATCTTAACTTATTTAGTGTTACATATTCTTGTTATTTGTACCTTTTTGTTTTGCCTTACTTGTTTTTTAGAAACTCAGTTCAGATATAATTTAGAGTATACATGCTATAAATTCTTTTCTCATTACCTCCGTATGTCCAATCTGCAAACATTGTGCCTCGTTGTTCACAGAGACTTTCGTCAACCTTTTCTTTAAATGATTTGGACATGTCTATGACTAGAAGGTAAAATGCTCTTCTGCTGAGATAGATTTGATGACAGGCGTAATATGCACACTGTCCTCCAAAATCCATGACACTCAAAATCTGTTTTTCGTCATTCGTCGAATCATCTGATAGTGCTGTTAAACATTTCAATCGAAGTACTAGTATTCGACAAAATATAAGAATATTGTGAAAACACTTTAAATGATACAACAGTAGATGTCCTTGTAGAAACTAAGCTTAACGCTACTTGCTAATACACAAAAGTTTTAATTATATGATTAAATACCTTTAAGAAAATGGTTAGGCAAAAAATAAAAACTGATTAGGTTTCAATTCAGGCACTACGAGAATTTTTTTTTTAATTCTAAGATAAGCAATCTGACTGTAGGATCACATCATCCCTTGTTTATAAGGTATTCCGCACATAATAATACAGTGTACGATAAATCATTTCGATTCAAAATGAGATTTTCTTTTTTACACGGTGCTCTTTACGTTCTGATATGTTATTTATTCTGTTATATTGATTGCAGAAATTACTAATGAATCTGTTTCAGTTACCCTTGCTTCTGTTTCCTACTTCAAGGAAAAAATATATATTTAAAATTGAAGATTTTATAATATCATTAAATGCAGATTTCAATATAATTCTAATCTTATGATTTGAACAATTGCCTGCCCATTTCTATGCAATGACAGTGATGTTAAATGACACAGTGTAGCAAATTGTTTTTTTTTCTATAACAATGTTTTGTTTGTTTGTTGTTTAACGTCCCTCTTGAGAATTTTTCACTCATATGGAGACGCCACCACTTGCCGGTGGAGAGCTGCAAATTTTGTCCTATACTCGGCACTTACGGCCATTGAGCAGTGAGGGATCTTTTTCGTGCCAGCACCTACTACGACACGGGACCTCGGTTTATACGGTCTCATCCGAAGGACCGGTCTCCACGTCCCACAGTGGGATTCGAACCCGCGACGTAAGGATATAACAATGTTAAATCATGAGTCAATAACTGAATGGCCTTCCATTTCTTATTATTGGTTTAGCGGTACGATTTTTGTAACAATATCTGTAATATATTATCATACAGTATGCTGATCTCAAGCTGGTTACTAAAGCTCTCTCTGTTCATTATTAAGTATGAAAGCCGAATAGGCTCATTTCCGACAAAAAACACTCATTTTTTTATAAACGAGTTAGTATTTCGTTATAATGAATGGATTATCCAGTTATATCGTTATAACAAATTAATTATCTCGTTATAACAAGATCATTATCTAATCATAACGAGTTACTTCTGCCGTTATAACAAATTATCGAGTTAGCTATCTGGTTATAACGAAATAAATTTTACCTAAATTATAGGAATGAATATGCCAGTTGTTTTATTTTATGTTGAATTAATAATGATCAGTTAGTTTATCAATTGATAAATAGTTGAAATTATGATGGAAAATTCCTTCTGTCAGTTAATCCTAACACTCGTAAAATTACCAAATGGGCAATTTATATGTTCAACGATTACCGCACGGGAAAATGTCCATTCTGACCGAGATGTACAGCGATTCTCTAAATTACTGGATGCAGCGATTTGTGTTGGAATTAATAAAACAATACGGTTAGGAATATCCACCTCATTCCCTGTACTACAGTACATTGTGTGTGGTTTGTTACGCTTCAAGTTTGTGAGAGACGAAAAACATTCATTTGAAAATGTGCTGTGTGGATTCCCGTTTGGATTTGAAAATCGACATGCAAATGTTTCTCCACTATGTTAACATGACTTTGTATTTTGTCTATAAAGCTGGCTACTTTGTTTATATTTTTTCTTATTTGGTGTAAGGCCAAGGGTCACTGGATTTGTTTCAGCATTACCCTGGCGTGCTTTATGTTGATAGAGCTTGGTTGTTAGATCACAGTTAGTCATGATGTATCAAAGATAAAAACACAATGGTTTTAAAAGGAAAACACCGCAACAATGACACAAGATAAACTAAAGTCCAGGCTTTTTGACATCATAGACAGGTGTTTTTTCAATAAATTTGAAATAGTTAATTTACTTACCTTGTCATTGGTCATTTGCAAAAATTATTTCGTTAAAAGAGCATTCAGATTGTACACACAAGTACTCCAAAGTTGATACTAAAACATGCTTGAGTTTCTGATTGACAATATCTATGTAGTTGTTGGAGATCAAGTCTTCCAACAATCCATTGGAATTCCCAGGGGTTCAAATTGCCCTCGATTATTAGATCTACTTTTATATTCTATATACTATACATATTGCGTTGGCCTTTTTGACATTTAGATATATCGAAGACGTATTATCAATTAACAAATTCCCTTTTTTATGTAGTATTGCTGCCTTATCACCTGCATATGGAGTTTATGTTTCCCAGTTGATTTGATACGCAAGAGCAGACTCTCCTTAAGAAACATTTTTAAAAAGAGACAAGCTATTGACAAACAAGTTGATGGAACAAGAATATAAACAGTCGTCTTTGAAGTCAACACTTCGTAAGTTCTATGGTCGATACAATTTCCTTGTCACCTAATACAATCTACCATTAAGTCGAATGCTGACTGACGTTTTCATACTTACTGTAAAGCCATTATTCCCGTTTGCTTAAATCATGACGAGGAGCACACGGCGGGTGTGACCCGTCGACAGGGTATTCTTACTCCTCCAAGGCACCTGATTCCACCTCTGATGCTTTTAAAGGTCCCTGTTTGCTCTGCCCCAAGATTTGTATTCTTTCAATGGACTTTTGAGCTTGATTACTGTTCTTTATCCTTATTTTTCATATTAGGGAAAAAGTTTCTGAATTCCTAGAATCCCTCATGTGACAAGATTTAATGATCCTTGGACTCGTAACTTATGATTTTAAATGCAAAATAATAATAATAATAATATAAAAAATAGGTAGCTGAAAATTTAGAAACTTAATTCACTATCCCCTTCTTTGGGATAACTCATCTTGACACCTTGATGACATGTACATCAACATTCAAATTTTAAAATTTTAAAATCAAGAGCCATACCAAAAAGGAGATTACTTTGGCTTACTTATGAGTAAACACTGCTAAAGTTCTAAGGATTATTCACTTAGAAGGGTTGACTATCCACAAACTATGGATGAAACGCCCGCGTGGCTCAATGGTTACAGCGATTGCTCTAGAGTCTCGGAGTAAGGAGTCGCGGGTTCGAATCCCACTGTGGGACGTGGAGACCGGTCCTTCGGATAAGACCGTATAAACCGAGGTCCCGTGCCGCAGTGGGTGTTGGCACGAAAAAGATCTCTCACTGCTCAAAGACCCTGAGTACCAAGCATAGGTCAAAATTTGCAGCTCTCCACCGGCAAGTGGTGGCGTCTCCATATGCGTGAAAAATTCTCGATATGGACCTTAAACAACAACAAACAAACGGATGAATCCTTACTTTCACTTGCAAATGAGCAAAATTCCTTGTTTTTGTTTTCTTTTATTTAAAAGTTTTCAATATGAAGAGCCATCTTACAAAAAATGTTGAAATAAGTCACTTTACGCTAATTTTGAGTGACGTGTCATAAAACAAATACTGGAATAAACATATCTTCGATCCTAGATGTTTTATTATCTATGAATTTTAGCAATATTTTTGACAAAAAAGAAAGAAAGAAACAGCAATTCAGGAAGCAGGTCAGTGTGACCTATTTCTTCGTTAGCACAACAAGAGGTCCCAAATATATCAACTAACAAAATTTTTCGATTCCAAATTCATGTAAAGCATCTTATACAATTAAAAAAAGTTTGAATTGCATGGACATATGAAAGTATTTTTTTTTATTATTTAAACTATCAGCATAATTGCACAAATGTTTTGTATTGATGTCAATTTACTATTATTTATTTCTTTGAGACGTAAACGGAATTCCCTCAAACAACAATCTCTTCAGATAAAAAAAATTATGATTTTAACAGTAACAGAAAAAAAGCATAATTAATCCTGAATTGTTTTACATTAAAATGTGGAGATTATAATTATATTTCAGACGTTGATAACGATACACTGGTAAGAAAAAAATAGAGGAAGCTGAATAAGTCGTTATACAAACTACAACATTTCCATGAAAGAAAAGTTTTTCTTCTCTTTTGCTCATGGAATCAGGGAACTTGAAACTTATATCGGATATACTGTGGCGATAAAACAAATTTGATACAAGCCTCATCATTTCTGATAACGACAGTACATAACCTGACATAATGAAACAGATTTCGGCTCTAAATCAGTAAATTAAACATTTTCTCATACCTGCTAAGGAAAGGTCAAACCGTATTTCAAACAAATCTTCATGAACTTCTAGTCCAACAGTCGAGTGCACCAGTTTTAATTCCTCTTTTCCTAACCTCTGTAGGCGTTTTAGAAGAGTAGTTTTTCCAGCACCTGCACATCCAACAATCATCGCACGAGCCCTATGTATCGTCTTTTTTCCCTTTTTTGCACACTCTATATATATACATCTCGCGTCATATTCCCAGTCCAATACTTCCTCTGGTACATTTACTGCAAATAAGAAAAAAATTGCATGTAGCAAAATAATCATTTTACATTGAAAAAAAAAACAATAGAAAGCGCATCGAATGAGAAATAATTGAAGAGAAAGCCATGCAAACAAAGTAAAGGGGATTGGAAAATTGTCATTCGTCATTCATCTGACATCCTTGGGTTTGTCTCGGTTAAAATGGAACGAATTAAGGAAGCGATTGCAAGGGTCCGTGAAAAAAATCCGCTCGATGAATTTTTCTCATTTTTACATATAATTTGCCTTACGTTAATGGTATCATAATATGAAAATTTCAACCATGATCATCAGGGTTATAAGGATGATACGGTTGCCATGGTAACCGCAGGTTTTCAATATTTTGATATTTAGGATATTCAAAATAAAAATTGAATCGGAAACTATTAATAGATGTAGTAATGACACCGGGGCTTAGGGGAGTATTCATTGTAAATTTGCAGTAATATTTTCACATCAAGAGCAATTCTCAACGTCTTGACAAAAAAGTACCCAATGAATTTTCCAAAAACTAATATATTTTGTACAAATTATTATAAATGACTTATGGTTAAAATATGAAGTAAGGTCATCATATTCATTTTGAAGCTACATACATTTCAATACCCCCCCCCCTTCCTAAAATATTATAAGATTTCATAAATTTTCTTATGATGCTTTGCTGCTGAACCTTAAATACGTTAATCTGTTAAAAGACTAAAGAAAAAAAACAATATGCATAGATTAATAAAGAATAATTAATAAAATCTTGCGGTTGTTGCTCATTTTATATGTAAATCAGAATAACAAAAGTAAAAAAACAAAATCATATACTAAAAAAAATAACATGCTCATTTGTTTTTCCCCCGTCTCTAAAACATTCATTCCGTTATTATATCAATATAAATGTATTTATTCTAAACCAGTGCACAGTGGTCCAAGGGGCAAATTGTTCTAGCCCTGAAAAAAATAAAGGTCTCCACACTATGATCTGGAATCGGGAGGCGGGGGGGGGGGGGGGGGGTGTTAAATAAAGCACTTGTCTGAACATATTGAATGAATAGGGGTTATTTCGTAGAAATTGTATTTGCAATAAATATATAAAATTCCTAATATCTTATTTGGAAAATAATAGTGATTTTCTATTTAATATTTACATTTGCAAATATTTTTACTTCATATTCTTCGCATCATTTTCTCATGATCTAGGTTAATACATGAATACATGAGGAAGCAATAATATCTCCATTGTGACGTCATAATTCCATACTTGACGTCAAAACTATAAACTGTTTAGGTTCAAAAATGAATAACATAAATTTGCGACGCTTCGTGCTTATGCGCTTCATAAAATATGCCGGCGTGAAGCGTCTTTGTTCATGTCAAAAAATTATTATTTTGAAATTTTTTTTTTTTTTTTTTTTTTTTTTTTTTTTTTTTTTTTTTTTGCTAGTTTTGTGAAAACTTGCAAAAAGAAACATTTTTTTTTCAGTCAGAAGAAGTGTGTTCAGTTTCAATTTTTGACAAAATCCGACACATAAAACATCTTATAACAAATATATGCACCGATGATTCAATATTTAGAAGGCCGGTGTAAATGTTGAAAATGCAAGAGAAGATCTTATAGAGGAAAACAAATTTCCTCTGCAATATTAAAAAAAAAATCTTCAAGTCCAGCATGCAACCTCAAACTAGTCTATAACATATAAACCTATATCAAAATCGCATGCATTCATCTGTTCATCCATTTTCATTAATCACTGAGAAAATCAGGCCGTCTGAAGCTTCTAGGAAATGAATATATACGTTGATGTAGATTCAGTAGTAAATTCTAATATTTTAATTAATGAAAACAAGAGGACACAAAGATTCAGATATAAATTCAATTTATTAATGAAATAGATTTCAACGTCAGAACTACCACAAAAGCTAGACGTTTCAAAACAAAACACGTGGATAAAAAAAAAATCTGCGTCGACGCTCCCCAACACTCTGCAACGTCATGTCTTATTCTTTCTCTGTTCAAGAAATATTGCCACGAGGACTTTTTGTCATTGGTGCAATCATATCACGTTCCTTATTACCGTAAACTTTCCTTTTTTAAACATCACATGAGTCGATCACGTGACGCCTTGCAATCACGTCATTAATTCCGAAAAAAAGACTTCAACGTGCTTGTGATCATGTTGTTACCAGAAATGCTTCTTGCCCAGTAAATATGCTCTTATTGATACTAATGATTCCATAATGTTTCAGCCGCGCCCTGTTCAACCAGAGGGACTGTGAGCACTGAGCTCACTAAATGATACCCCCGCCTCCCATATGCTAATAATGGCAAAGTCCATGTTTTGCTCTGGGAGGCCTGAAATAAGTGTCAGATCAAAAAGTAAAATAGAAGGTGCACAATGGCATTATGTAATAAAGAATCTGTGAAAGTATCATTGAATTTTATTAAGTGGTATGGGAGGAGTTGTGGATAAGAGATGAGTATCTTTCAGTATTATAGAAAGAATATCAGTTTTCATGTTTTGCTATGGGAAACCCAAAATATGTCTCGGATAAAAAAGGAAAGTAGAAGGTGCAAACTGGCACTATGTAACAAAGATTCTGTGAAAGTCTCACTAAATTTCATTCAGTGGTTTAAGAGGAGTTGCGGATAAGAGATGGGTATCCCAAAGCGTAACAGACGGACGTATACGTACGTACAGACTGACGAACGAACATCCCGATCACTATATACCCTCCCACCTTTCAAGCGGGGGGTATAATAACATGCAACGCTCTTTAATTTATAAGGGCCCCACATATGAACAGAAAACTTTGTTTCCCTACGCCGCGTCAAACCTGAGACGAAAACATATGTTGTGACTGTTCTTTTGCTAGAAGTGAAAGTCACCGGTCTTTCGGAAGAGACCTTAAAAACCGAGGTTCCGTGCTGTTGTAGGCGTTGGCACGATAAAGAACCCTTACTGCTCGATGGTCCTTTGTGTCGAGTATAGGTCTAAATTTAAAGCCCTTCAATGGGATACCGTGACGCCTGTATACGAGGGAAAAATTCTTGAACGGGACGTTAAACAACATACAATTAATCAATCGAGGTATTGGGAACAGCTCATTTATTCTATCCCTAATAAGAGTACTAAAGTTAACTATTATTTGTTGTAGTAAACTATATTCAACTATAGTAAAAACTGAAACTGATAATTTGATTTATGAAACTTTAATCAAGATTTTCTTTTCGAGATTTAAAGCCTTAGTGCCCCTTAAATTACACATCATTGAATGACATTTTAAAAACAATATGTTAATATACAAGTAATATTTCTTATAGATATCAAAATTGCTGTAAGACGTGGAAAAACTGAAAAATAACATCTTTAAATTCATAGTAAAAATGTTTTAATTTACTAAAGTAAAAACTTGTGAAAAACAGTGATACAATAGATCACTAAAGTATTAAATTTGTTAGAATACAATGAGCTCTTCCAAATGCCTAGTAAAAATATTCCAATCTATTGCCTGATCGGGCATAGAAAACTTTACTGTTACTTGATACTAGAGTTTCGTCTGCAAAATATAAAATAAATAATATCAAAGTTATGAACTTGTATTTTGTAAAAATAATTTTTTGGAAATTAGTTGAAATCCTGATGTTTCTGAAATCCGGATGATATCAACAATCATAGATGGATCGTGTTCTAGGCAATAAATTGCCAGTCAATGGGTAAAAACGCCAAAACAAGTGAAACAGACTATATATAGTTAAAACTATGAAATTCATTTTAAAAATAAAATACTGGAGTATCAGGATATAAAAGCAGTTTCTCTTCGGATATCCAGCTTTTGCACAGGAAAAAGGATTCTCTGTATTAAAATTAATGATTATAAATCTAATGTGTTTTATTTCAAATTGTTTAAAAAAGATGAAACATGATATTTTGTAAACAGAAATTCATAAAATGATACAAATGGTTCCTTTAACGAAAAAATGCCGGAGCAAATGTTTTAATAATCAAAAGGAGCAATCACAATCAATTTCCATCTGCCATTCTATTTTGTTACTTGTAATGAAAGTAAAATTTCGGGGGGGGGGGGGGGAGGAGGGAGTACGATCCTAGAAACACTCAACTTTAAGGCCTCCATTTCGTGGACAATGACAAAAATACTGCATGAGGAATCTGGGTTCTGAATTTCCATATGATTGCAGATATACGAGTATGTAAAAGTGCAATATGAAAATGGTGTGACTTCTAGACAAGACACATTCATGGACATCGACACAAAACTAAACCAAATACGCAAGATGTCTTCTTAGATTTGTTTTGATCAAAATTTAAAGTTCTTTTGAGTGTTTGCCCTCTTCACAATTTCTTTTTTATGATATTTGTGAGACTGATCTCTGTTATATTCAACTTTTCTGCGTGTAAAATAAATATTTATAAACATTTATAGATCCCTTAAATGTAAGGAAGACGTTTACAAATTGCAGCGCTACTCACATGTTTCTTGCACATATTCTCTGATATCAACATTATCCCTGCCTTCGCTACTGACTATAACGTGACGGAGGACGTCTAAGTCAAGCGTCTCGATGAAGAGATTATTCATATCCTGCGTAAGATACAAACATTGTTCATCCAAATCCCTCTCATACCACCATGGGCGCACATATTCTAACAAAGAGTCCACCGATGACAGTCCTAAATAATTCTCAAAGTCATCATTAGTTTTCAGGCACGTTTTGACAAAATATTTCATCACCTGATGGCGGACTTCATCCGATACAAATCCGATAGTGTTATTTTCCTTATCTAACACCAAGACTTTATAAATGTCAACCAGTTCAGTGATGTCGTTGTTAAGTTCCCTCAATTCACATTTTAAAACAGGAAAATAATTATGAA